TGCAAAGGGAGGCAGGACAAAACTGATAAGTTGCAGCCAACCTCGAAACGTCACGCCATGGCTCTGGTGGATCTGCTTGTGTTATACTATTTTTTAAAATGTATTTGCCTATTAGTATTTTGGCTTTTAAAAAAAATCTAGTTTTGATAAAAATTATTAAATAATTAATTAACTTTAACACTCCCCCCCCCCATAAAAATTTTTTACAAAATTTGTTTATAAAATACACCGCTAGCATCATTGAATCATTTACTTAAACGCAAAAAAAAAGTATACCTGTAATAAATTATTACATTTTCAGAATATTACATAGTTTTATCAGAGTCAAAAAGAGAAACATGTTTTGTGGAAAGTCTGTCCATTTGGGTGGGTATTCAGTATCGGTCGTGTTTTTAAATCGTAAATAAAACTCACGACAGGCAAGCTCTCCCAAGGAGGTAAAAAAAAAAGCGTTATAAATCTCACTGAAAGTGGCACTAAAGGTCTTCACCATCAACCCTACTCAATGGGTGCAGACAGCCCAGGACAGAGCCAGGTAAGGAGCTGCTGTCAAGAAGGGGCAAAATCCCATGAAGCTAATAGGATAACCACAGCTGAGACACACAAGCTTGCCCGAAAGAGGAACATTAGGTCGTCGTCTGCAGCAACTATCCCATGCCGGCGGTGCCAGAGATTATTCCGAGCACGGATCGGTCTAGCAAGCCACCTACGAGCTTACCGTAACCGACCCTCCCCCTAACCGGATGTCTCGATGGTACTAGTCGACTTCGACGGACGAACAACAACACATGAAATTCAAAATTGTGTTAAGAGGAAATGAGATATTCACAAAGGACATCACATATTATTAGTGTAATATTTTTTATGGAATTCGTATTAAAAAATGCAAATTTCCCAAACATTCAGTTGGTTGTTATGATTGTTTGGAATTTCAAACTTATATTAATTTCTGCAGATAAATTAAAAATTGCTTCCTCGATTTATTTAATTCAAAAAAAAAAATCCATACTATTTATTTTTGAAATTTAATATATGGAAAAGAAGAATCATTCTAATTTTGTACCGAAAAATGGATTGGGTTCTGGTTCTGGTTTCGTTGCTGCATCTATGTATTTGCAACGGTTGGGGATGTTGCTATTCTAACAGCACCTAGCTGATGCCAGGGCAGCCTTGAAGCTTTCGACCATTGTCGCAGTGGCAATGCTATCTGAATGCTCTTTCTGATAAATCTTTTTTTTTATCTTCTTCTTCAACTTTCTACTGTATTCTCACCCAATTATAATAATATTTTTTTAAAGAGTGTGTAGAAATAGGTGGGCTGATTGCTTCAAATCTCCTTTATTAAGAGAACATTGTTACAAAACGCAAAAGCTTTCGATGTAATAATTGATGAAACGTGCACTATTTGCATGGGCTCTTTAAATTTTTTATTTATAAATTATTCTAATAATAACTATATTTTTAAAGCATAATGCTACTAAATAATTTATAATAAATACCGATCCCTACTTTAAAAGTAATGCAGTTTGTATATGTTTTATATTTAGCAAGAACTGTATTAAAATTATAGACCTCCATATTTATGTATACTTAGTTAAATACTGTTAACGATAGTAAATTTGCAAAAAAAATTATCAATAAAAATATTTACATATGCGTCTTATAATCCGGAGGGGCCAATTTTAAAACCGTTCGATATTTATAACCGAAGATTGTAAGCATCTAACAACATTAGCCTTAATTTTACGGATCACCAAGTATAACGAGCGTGTACGTCATACATTTCACTACTTGTCAAAAGCTGATGGCACCACTTACTATTGTTTTAAAAATGGATATAAAAAATGACAATTTGGTAATTTCTTATAAATTATATATTTTTTTAATTGCTGTTCTCATTATTCCCTTGGGGGGAGGGGGGGAGGGATTTGACTTTCTCGCCCCCTCCACCCGAGAGATGGCTGAAAGAAAAACTTTTTATAACACATGCAGGGTTATGTATGATTTTAAAATTCTCCTTTTTTAAGCCTTGATGCAGTGTAAATACAAAGCAGTTCAGTTGTATTGTCAATACAAAGTTTATTTATAACATTTCAAGCATAATATGGTATTTAAGTTTACTTGAATTAAAGATTATAACATATATTTTTCACGGTAAATATACATGCAATAATACTTAGAAAAAAAATGTTATAACAAATATTGTTAATTTCGTTATATATCTTATTTTATTTTATTTTTAATTCACAGATGTCTCAAAGCCCTTGGGAAGGTAATTTTTATGTACATTAATAGTAATAATGCCTCATTTTGAAATATTAATACCCATGCAAGCAGTTTTCTCTTTTCGAATTATCAGTTTACGAAACTCCTAATTAGAGACTACGGTGACTGAAATATTTTGTAATAATATTTTTTAAAATTATATTTTATATATAATATCTATTTTTTTTGCTTTCATTTAAGTTTAACTATTTCCTTTCGATTTCTTGCGCCTTTTATCAAAAAGCAAACACCATTATGATTTTAAAATGTAAGATGCAAAAAAAAACATTTAGTAATTTTGGGCTGCAAGGCTACGAAACCCAGCGAATCCATATTCGAGCTACATTTAGGATAGAACTACGAGACCGATTTCTCGGTACGCAAAATTCGTCGAACACTGTGCTCAATTTGCCACCGATCGCATCTGGTTTTAATCAGCCCTCATTGTTTGTCCTGAATACGACCCCAACCTTTCAAGACCAGTGTTGAGCGATGCTCATAGTCCAGCGGATTTTTTTTTATGGCTGAAAATTAGATGAATTAATTTTTATAATATCTACTAATTATTCTTCTACTAATAACTATTAGCGATTGTAGCTGTTACAACAATGATGAAAAGTTGCACTACGAAATTGTGGAATTGACACTTCAATTGAGCCGCCATTCGGTTTCTTTTGAACAATCGGAAAAGTCAGACGAAACAACAAAATAATTTAATTTAACTTCTTTTGGGTTTTGGTAAAATAATGTGTAAATATAAGCATTTTAATTTACTTATAATATATATATATATAAGTAAATAAACAATTTTCTATGTGATAACCTTCTGGGATGATTGCCAACCTTATTTTCCAGTTAATGCATAATGGCTGTGTTGCGTACGGTTGACATGGCTAGAAAGACTTTGACATTGTATGCTTGCAATTAGTTTTTGTAGTGTTGCGTTTGTTTTAAATGTGGTAAATTATAGATTTGTTTTTTGTTGACTTTGTACCGCGCTTCGAGCCTTTGGGGGATGAAGCGTGTTTTTGAAATGAACTTTTTTTATTATTATTATTATAAAAGTATCAATAGATACGTGTCTTTAAATTTAATTTTATCATTGGAAAAAACTAAAATTAATGTTTTAATTTCTGTCTTTCAAAATAACTTTTGGTGAATGGGGAACAGAGTTTGAAAAGAACTTAATAGAAAAAATTGCTAGGATCATTTCAAGTTAGATTTAAAATTATTGACATTATAATTATAGATATTTAGTTTCACATTTAATTAATTATTCACTTTGATTTTCTATAACGAGATTATCACCCTGTAATGTCTTGTTTGACAACTCTCTAAGCCGTTATGTAGATCCGTGAAGTTGATGACTTCTGACTTTGTTTTAAGAGCATTTCTCAAGAGGACCTAATAGAAAACTAATTACCTGAGTTCGATATTTCATTATTTCCTTAGTAACTGTATTTCTCTAAGCCAGCGGTTCTCAACCAGTGTGTCGCGACCCCTAAGGGGCCAAACGACCTGTTCACAGGTGTCGCCCAAGATGATCAGAAAATACATATACTCTAGAGTTATGAAGTAGCAACGAAAATAATTTTGCGGTTGGGGTCACCACAACATGGGGAACTATATTAAAGGGTCGCGGCATTAGGAAGGTTGAGAACCACTGCTCTAAGCCATCGGGACAAAATATCATTTTCAACAAATATTGACATCAGTGCAGTTATAAATATTATAAGGTAAACATTATATTTTATATTTTCAGGTAAACATGAGACCCAGGTATCAGAAGGAGGGGAAGCTGACCTACAAATGCATTACCAAAACTGTCAGAAGAAATCAGGCCATGCACATTATGTACCTGCCAAGGATTTGACAATAGATAAACTCCCTGTTGGTGCCCAGGATCAAGAAATAGTTGAGTTAATCAGAACTTTAGCTGAAATGACTGTAAGGGTTAGTGTTGAAGGCATTAGTGATCTAAGACCAGATGTGTGGCCCGGCACAAGTGAGCACTATCCATTTTCTGACAAGACTGCCAGTAATGCCATGAGGCTAGGCACTGGGACGATTAGGTTTGTGGAGAAGTTCACCGAGCAAAGCGACAGAGCACCTTGTTTATGTAAGAAGTGCAAAAAATCGGCCACACCAGGCATACCAAAAGGTGAGGTCATGGTAGTCACGGCCAAACATGTGGTCTTTGATGACTTTGAAGCGAAACATACCACATGTAGATTGTTTTTTGATGAAAATAACAGTACTTTGGTCACGCTTGAAGGCTGGACTTAAATGGACGGAAATACAGAAGACGACTACTGTTGGATTCAATGTGAGACATGTAATGTAGATGTACTAGATCTCCTGCTGAAGATGTCTGAACACCTGAATGACATGTGGGGTAAATTAAAGTCTAAATACTTGAGGTCTAGAAATGTCGACAAGTTGACATTTATCGTGTCACATCCACACGGTAGGCCTAAACAGGTTTCTGTAGGACACTGGGAGGAAAGACGGGTGGTGAGGAATAGAAGGTGGACTAGGTACACATACACAACATGTACATGCCCAGGCAGTAGTGGTGCGTATGTCTATATCCTGGGGTACGACGATGTACGCTGGTTATTGCATGCAACCCATGTTCACAGAGGCGTCAACTCGCGTGGAGAAAATTATTGTGGCACTGGTAGGGATTTGGAATAATATATAGAAAAAAAAGACACAACGGTAAAAATTGTGTGCACATTTAAAATGTATATTGGTTTTATTTTAATAATTTTTCTCTTAACACCATCGACATGTCACATTATCAGCACTAAATGTAACCTGGATAGAAATACATACATAGGAAATAATAAAATATAGTCAATATAATAGTTTTTGTCTTTGATATTCATATTATGCTTATGGTAATCATAACTGTCATGTTTCGCGTCAACGTTGCAACATAGTTCCGACTTAAGACTGGTGTCTGAAAGTAACTCTTTCTGGGGTTTGAGCCCAAGTCTGCGGCATAAATCGTCTTGGATTTAAATAGAAATGCGACCTAAATTTCTAGTTGAGTTCCAAAGTTATATTGAAGTTATTTTCAGTTATAACGTTATTTTATTCTCCTCAAATTGTTTATTGAATATATCTGACAGTACATGTTATCTTTGTATTTCCCATGGACGCTTGTGGTGTCTGTAAAGCTTCTTCTGATACCACGTGAGCCCTTTCCCCCATTTAAAGTTCTTTCTTGTTCTAGCTGATTTCGGACGACTACATTTCCTGTCTACCTCCTGACGTACCATCGGGTGTCTTCTTATTTAATAAGTCGGTTGACGATAGTGTACAGCAGTTCGTAAAATTCAGTTTACATTCGTATAGGTCACTTAAAAAAATTAAATCCTTCATTTTAGCATTTAAACTTTAAATTCCGTATATTAGCATAGAATTTGCAATCCTGTATTTCATGAGGATACGTTAATCTACAGATATAAAATTGTTTAAAAATAAAATAATCAAAATTTACAACAAGCGAAACTGGAAGCTAATGAATTTTGTTGTTGTTGAAAGTCATAGAAGCTAAGTAGGCTGAAAACAATTTAATATTTTGCGCGTATTAATACAATGTGTCATCATTTCTTCTTACTGAGAAGATAGCAACGCTTTTGTTTCAGTTAGTGCTTCTTTTGAGTGGCTTATGAGACCAATCCTTGAGTAACTCATGAGACCAATCCTTGAATGGCTTATGAGACCAAGCATTGAGTGGCTTATGAGACCAATCATTAAGTGGCTTATGAGACCAATCCTTGAGTAACTCATGAGACCAATCCTTGAATGGCTTATGAGACCAAGCATTGAGTGGCTTATGAGACCAATCATTAAGTGGCTTATGAGACCAATCCTTGAGTAACTCATGAGACCAATCCTTGAATGGCTTATGAGACCAAGCATTGAGTGGCTTATGAGACCAATCATTAAGTGGCTTATGAGACCAATCCTTAAATTGCTTATGAAATCAATGACTCAGTGGCTTATGAGACCAACCATTGAGTGACTTATGAGACCAATCCTGTCTCGGCTGTGAGTCTCAAAGCAGAATCCTGAATGATGGTGTTATTTGATCTTTAGCATTTCTCTTTATCCACAAGGGCTTCCACTCGCGCTTCCGCTGACATTACTTTGTCTTAAATACAACATAAATTTATATATAAGGATCTATATCCTCTTATTTTTTACATTGTATTTCTTTTATGCGCAGTGAATTTCATGGTGACAGCTTGTCTGACAGCTTGTCTGTCTGTAGTGCAAAGACTCACAAGTTTCATGCAAAAAGGAAAAGCTAAATAATATGCTAAATGCAGTAATGGAATTATTATTTACTAAAGTGGATCAGCTAACATCAAATTTCTTCGTCATAAAAATTGTGCCTGCTATTTTTAAGCTTTAATAAAGCTGATAGGAAAGAATTTACACGAGTGTGATAATATTAAATTATATACTATTGAAATTTTGTGGTCCACGACACGCATCCATACAGGGGTGTGCTCAGTACGCAGGCCTGGTACAACTGCAGCTTAGTTCTTGTGATGAGTTTGGCGTTTGACCAGACTCTTTTCTTCAGTCTGGCCATAACAGTTGCAGCCTTCCCTATCCTTCCACTTATCTCATTCTCCATTGAGAGGGTGCTCGATATGTTGGATCCCAGATATGTGAATCTGTCAACAGTATCCAAGTCGTAGTCGTCGATGGCGATAGTGGGGAGGGAGTCATCACCCTGTGCTATAATGTTAGTTTTCTTTAGGCTAAGTGTCAGGCCAAATTCTTTGCAGGCAGCTGGATGAAATGAATATAGAGTCTATATATAATCTGTCAGGTTATTTCAAAATGATTATATTTAATCCATTTTTTTTTCAACGTAGATTTGCAGATTTTAGCCTCAACATCAGAAAAACAATCTACAATCTTGGCATCGGTCGTAGTTTTTTGCCATTCATATATTAGCAGTTGCTTAACTTCACTTGTCATAAAGCGAGGGCTGACGACATGCCTTGATCAATTGATACAATTAATGCCACGTGTCTCTTGGCCATCTCCTGGGCGCATGCACGTACGATGTCGGTTGAGGCTTCTAAACCACTTTGAAGAGTTGGCACAAAGACAGTGGGAGTTGAAGACGAAGAGCATGAGAGTTGAGGCGGGGGACCATGGGAGCTGAGACGTAGACAAGGGTAGCTGGGAAAATAAAGAGTTAAAAGTTTGAAACAAAACAGGGGGATAACTTAAATACTATCATAGTATGTGATTGACACTACTTTATTAATCTATTCATTTGTTTAATATAGCGTTTTTAGCCTTGTAAACAAAACTAAACGGGTTGTAAATGCACCCGCTGTCGTTTCATACTAATATTGTGAAGTATAAGGGCTGAGTTGATCAATAGTATCTCCACTGGACTCAATACGTGTTAAAACATTTTCTTGCTGAAGTAGACGGGACTGGTCGGTTTGTCAAAATACACAGTTGCAAAATGGTTGTAAATCTTGCCAGGTAGGTGTGGATTGAAACACGTAAATATGCAGCGGCAATTTACAAATCCTTGGATGGGGTACTGGTAGTTACAAGTTTAGATGCAAAGCTATTGAAAGTCAGTGCGCCATTTTGAGCCATGTCAAATCAAACGTCATTTCCCCATCGTATCGCTGAGCGTCTTAACTATAAAGTCAAAGTCCGTCTCTAAGACCTCAAGAAAGTGTTGAAACGCCGGACCGGGACCCGAGTTTAACAATTTTTGCAAGAATAGTTCACTTTGTTTCTTGACATCCTCATGGCTCAGTATGTCTTTCTGATCGTCAGCGTTGAAAACCCCTCTCTTCATCAGGCCTGTGATTACATAACGGGGCACAAGGTTCTCTACAAGATATGTCCAGTTTTTAAGTAGCGTTTCTTCATCTTCGTGTCTTAGTCTTTCAGATCTTCCCCCACATTTAGTTTGATCTGCGGATGAGGAAATAAAAAAAAAACACACACTAAGAGAATTAGTTCTTTAAATTTGTCTTCAAAGTGCAAGCCGGCAAAAAATTAAAACAATTAACCGCTTTATTGACAATATGATCTGTTATTAAGTCATTGAATGTGGATTTCCGAAACGTTTTTTTCATTAATCCAATGAAAGTGAATTGTCTTATAATCGACGGTTTAAAACTTAAAATAAGCTCAAAGTTCACACCGAATATGCAACAATGTGTGTAAATTTATTGTTGTTTGAAAAAATATTACAAACAACTAGCATTAAAACGTCAGTTTCTATCGCAATATCGAAATTCTTATTACAAGTGTATTTGTCTATAATAATCAAGTATGAAACAATTTGAATTGTAACAATAATTAAGGATTACTCCTATTTGTCTTAATCATTATTTAACTTTTTTTCCCCCGTGCGTTGAAAAGAAAGTGGGATAGGACTTGACTTTATAAAATAAAGACGTGTCTTAAAATAGTATTAAAGCCTACCATTTGATGCACTCGTTGGTGTGGCTGTTGATGGCAGTGGGCTTTCCAACCTGATAGAGAGAAACAAGTCATGGATTAGTCAAAAGCTGATTGAACAAATTTGAACTGCTCCCAGTTTCATATCGCTGACAGTTGTGCAGAGGCGTAGCTAGAGTATCTGGCGCCCCGGGGGCACAAGATTTATTTTAAAAAGAAACACCATTTCTTTTTTTTTCAACTCTCAAACCAATTATGTTCACCAATAAAACAATATCAAAGCACATTTTGGCGCCCTCATCTAGTCTGGCGCCCGGGGACAGCTGTCCCTTGCCCCCCCTTAGCTACACTCCCCGCAGTTGTGTAAAAGTAAAACAACAAACATATTGTTTGTTTATAAATATCACTTTTGTGTTAATTTTGTAAAACAGATCTTAGACTCCATAAAACTTTTTTGATTTTGTTGTGTTCTACCGTTCAACTAGTAAATAGTCTTAGTGATATTCATTGAGGTATCGCTAGTAAAAAAATCTGTATTTGGCCTGAAAAGTTGAATTTCGTTTAAAGTGACCATCAACATCAGTGTATGAGATGAGCCTGTAATTCAATTAATGATATCAAAATTTTCATTATTTTTTTTTATTTCAATGATTGCGCATTGAATTTTAATACTTAATTAAAAAAAAACAAACACAAAAAAATAAAAAAAAACAAAAAAAAAAAAACAACAAATAAGTTATACAGTTTTGTTCAAATGTATTTTTAAACATGAGCTGGTGGCTTCGTCAAAAAAAAAAAAATTAAAAAGACGTGAACTAAATATTCGTGTTGTCACTTTTGATTGAATGACGTAACACGTAAAAATTTATACGTTACCAAACATGAAAACTTAAATATTTCCAGTAACTTTGTTTAGGTTTACATCTAAAAACAGAAATTTAGATTTATTAAGAGCATGTTGAAAGCAATATTGCAATTAAGTTGCAATACAGATTTTTGTTTATAATTATTCTGTTTCATTAAATGCGTATCTGCTTCAAAAATTATGCCAAAAACATGTACATTACATTTACAATATTGGAGTTTTAAGTGAAAATACCGCACAGCAGATATCGTACATACTTGCTTCTTACTGGATTGTTACACGTCGAAGTCTCTTGAATCAGATTGAGTTCGGCAACAGCACCCGACAAAAGGCTATCAACAGAATCCTCTAAAAAAAAGTAAATGGTAAATAATAATATTCAAACTACTTTCAAAAAGGTTTAAACAATAATAAATTATAAAATTTGCTTTATATAATAAAAGACTGATCGATGTTATAAGTGTGGGTCTTTATTTAACTTCGAAAAATTTTATATTTTAATTAATTTTTGTGTTAATGACTGGTTTGTTTGCTAAATGAAACAATTATAAATTTTACCTTACGTAGATTACCTGAAGTGCACGACCTAATAGTCTTTAGAGTGTCATCAATTTGTGCCCGCAATTTCACACTTGTAGCCATTTGTAAATCAACCATCGCGTCTACAAGGTCTGGGAATTCCAACAACGCCAGTCTGACGTCACTGTACTGTGCCAAGGAGTTGATGCATCGGAGGGCACTTGCGTTTTCTTTTGGATTTTTGTGACGTACCATGTTCACCAATGCTGACAGCGCGCCTCCTTTGTTTACAATCTGGTCGCACGTGAAATAATGTTTGAAAATGATTTTTTTGCATCCAATAGAACTGCCGGAATAAACTAAATGTTGCTCTCATCACAGAAGTGTACAATTTAAGTAAAGACATGAATTTTTCGATACAATATTTCCCCAAATATATTATATATTAATTTCATTTTTTTGGTTTTTGTTGAAAATATGTACCTTGGATCTATTAGACATTTTTATTGTCAGCGTTGTCAACCCATCTGCCAATTCGCACAGACTCATGGTGTTACTTCTTCTTTCCTTTTTTACCATGGCTTCTTGCATATATGTGATAATCGTGTCAACAACTTCTGAGAGATAAAATTATAAATTATTTAAATAAATGTATACAACGAGTTGACCTTATAATTAAACATAAATAGAATTTTGAATAGATCAAGTACGTGCTAAATATGAAAAAAAACAAAAAAAACACAGAATAAAACATCACAACCCTCTTGCCCCCCCCCCCCCCAAACATAAACAAAATCAATACAGTTGTATTAAACATAAATAGAATTTTGAATAGATCAAGTACGTGCTAAATATGAAAAAAAACAAAAAAAACACAGAATAAAACATCACAACCCCCTTGCCCCCCCCCCCCCCAAACATAAACAAAATCAATACAGTTGTAAATTTAATCACTTAAAAAGGCATTTAAGTCCAATTTAGCACTGTTATATACGCCTTACTTGGTTCATCCGACAATGAGCCAAGTTCATGCTCATCCATTGTGTAGACAAGCGACATCATTATTAACACTCCTCTATAATCGTTACCGACTTGAGGGAAGTTCAATAAAGCCTGAAGCAGACAGCCACCATTTAAATGCATTAATTAAATTACCACTTTCCTTTTTCTTTCCAAATATATTTTATATTCTTTTTAATTTTTAAATTTTAAACTTTTTCTCTTTGTGAATTTTGTATAGACAGATTTAATAGCATCTGACGTAAAAGTTTTCCATAAAGAAATAATTTCCCTTCAGAGTTTTTACCATTTTTTAGTTTATAAATCGTTTTAAAGGTCCTCAGAATACAAGAAAAGACATATTCTAACAGAGGAAAATATATTTAAAAAATTTATAGTTAGACCCATATGAAATTATTAACTGGAATTAACATTTATATATATATATATATTTATATAAGAAGAAACATTTCTATTTCCAAACCTCTTTAGTTGCGTCAAATTTCTGCTTTGTCTTAGAGTCTGAGTGGTAGGCCATGTTGTAAACCAGTTCAAAGACGTTATCCATGAACATAGAAGCTGCCTGGGATAATTAAAATGAAAAGGAGCATGTAATATACCTCAGATGTGCGTAAAATGAAATAATTTACATTTGGCTACATAGGTCTAGTATCTCATATATGCCTAGTCGCTTTTAGGAAAGAAAAACTCACATAACAAGAGCAGAGAATGATATATAACGAAGACCTTCAAATTCAGTGTGTGTGTGAGAGAGATATATATAGATAAAGAGAGAGAGAGATAGAGAGAGAGAGAGAGAGAGAGAGAGAGAGAGAGAGAGAGAGAGAGAGAGAGAGAAGAAGAGATAGAAAGCGATAGAGAGAAAGAGAGAGTAATATAGTGAAATAGAGAAATAGAGTGAGATAGAGAAATAGAGAATAGGGGAAAGAGACAAAAGATAGAAAAGAAAAAAACACATAAAAAGAGCAGAGAAAGATATATAAAGAAAACCTTCAAAATCAGTGTGTGTGTGAGAGAGATATATATAGAGAAAGAGAGAGAGAGAGAGAGAGAGAGAGAGAGAGAGAGAGAGAGAGAGAGAGAGAGAGAGAGAAAGACAGAGAAGAAGAGATAGAAAGCGATAGAGAGAAAGAGAGAGTAATATAGTGAAATAGAGAAATAGAGTGAGATAGAGAAATAGAGAATAGGGGAAAGAGACAAAAGATAGAGAGAGAGAGAGAGAGAGAGAGAGAGAGAGAGAAAGAGAGAGAGAGAATGATAACAACAAAGAGAGAAAATACAGAGAAATAAATAAAAAGATTGTTAAATATAGGAAAAGAGAGAGAGAGTAATAGAGAGAGAGAGATAGATAGATAGAGAGAGATAGATAGATAGATAGAGAGAGAGAGAGAGAGAGAGAGAAAGGGATAAGTAAAAGAGTGTTTAAAGAAAAGAAGTATGAGGAAATGAAGACATTATCCATTCAGTGGGGAAAAAAATAAATAACACAATTATTGCAAGAACAACAAAGCATATCATTTGAAATTTAAATCTTATAAAATAGACATACTTTGAATTTACCTGTTCTTTTAAATAATCACGATAACTTATCTCAGTTATATGTGCTGTTAGAGTGGCAAGTAGTCCAACATTGGCCAAATACTGCAAGATAAGCAACAATGTAAAAATATATCCTTTTGAATATTACAATAGCATTTTTGCATATATTTTATATATAAATACGTGAGATTATAAATAGCATTGGACGGATAATTGGAGATACTTAGAATGAAACATGGATGGAAAGATCGGTGATGGATTTATATATTATGGAAAGATGACTGAAGATGAATGAGGAATTGATAAAAAAACAGTCAACAGTAATAAATTATTAAATAAAGATAATAAAAACTATGTGTTACTGACCAAGGCAAATGTTTCACTGTAATCACTATATGATATGGTTGTTTTAAGTGTAATTCTTGTCAGTGCGTACACATTATTGCACTCCAGTGCATCTTGAAGTTTCACCTTTCCAAGTTCAGCTACGATGTTGAATACATCTAGACATAAGGTATCATACTTAAAAGAATTATATCTAGATATACAATGTTATATTTAACGCATTAAATTAAGATATAAAACATCAGATGTAATAAATTAGATTTAGATGCAGCATATCAGATGTAGCGCATTATAATAAGATATAAAATATTAGATTAAGTCATTATATATTGAAAAAATATATAGCAAATTGAATGGATTATATTGAGATATAAAGTATCGGATTTAACGCAAACTATGCATGCTACCTGGGCAAAAAAAATACGCAAATAAAAACTAACTATGTTTGAGAAAATCATTTATGACACTAAGACCGAATGCATAAAGATATTAGAACACATCACTTACGGCAAAAAAGGTTGAATGCACTAGAATGCTAGAGAACAATATTTACTACAACAAGGCTGAATGCAATAAACATGTTAGAGAACATCACTTACGACAACTTGACTGAATGCACTAAATTTATTAGAGAACATCACTTACGACAACAAGGCTCAATGCTTAAAAATAAGCAACTAAATATAAAATAGTACTGAGACAATGTCTTGAAAAAACTGATTGCTCTGATAATAACATGACTCTGGGAGTAAAAATATATGAATTTATTTAATACCGTTGTTTCAAAAGCTAAACCTTAAATCTTTTGTTAAAAATATTGAACATGAACCAATTCAAAAATTCAGATCGATTTTTAAATATTTTTTTTAAGTCTATCAAAGTAAAATGGAAACCTAAAAACTGAAAAATTATGAGCCCTTATCTCATTCAATGTAACATATTCATAATATTTATTCTTCAAGTTTTAGGAATCACATTTGGAAGTTTATGAATGGCCCTTCGCAAAACAGCAGATAGCAATTGAAAAACACAAGTACTTGCGTGTGTGTGTCCGTATGTGTGCCTGTATATGTGTATGTGAGTCCGTGCGTGCGGCAATGTCCACACGTGCGTGTGCATGCGTGTGTGTTTCTTTAAGATTATAAACAATTTTCAAATACACATCGTTTAAATAAAAATATTTAACCCCCCCACCCCCAAAAAAAAAAAAAAAAAAAAAAAAAAAAAAAAAAACAAAAACAGGCAATAAGTATTAATTATGTCAATACAATCGCTGAAACTCGTGAAATGCTCCGTTTGGAAGATAATTCAATACATTCACACTGTCTTAGCTTTTTAACATTATTTTCTATCTACTTCATGAGATTGCTGGCCTGTTTTCAAAACTGTAAGTTCCATAAACTTTTTCTTACCATTGAATTTAATTTCTGCCAACAGATCTCCGATTTTTTCATTCATCTCATCGGCGAAGTAAAACTGTAGAACAAACAGGCTGTACTGGAAACCAAATGCTGCCTCGTTGATGTACTTTCTTCCTGACTTCAGCTGATCTGCGAGACACTGCACAACAGCTTCTACCTCCTTCCACGATAGATGCATGTGTTCTTGGCTTCGAAGCTCACAATTTGCATTCTGTTTATGTAATTGAACATAATTATTTTAAAATCCCTTATACAAAAAAATCAATCAAATCTCATCTAAACTAAATGCCTACTGACACAAACAAAGACCCATAGGTCTACGCAAGTTCTATTTTTTTCCATTACACTGTGTAATTCTTGTTGTCCAGAACAAAATCAAAGGTCAATAATTGTTGTCCAGTTCGATATAAAAGTCTTGTTTCTCAGTACGATATGAAATTTAATTGTTGAAAGTTTTGTTGCCCAGTACGCTGTGAAAGTCAACTGTTTTCCAGTACTGTAAAGAAGGCAATTATTGCCAAGGATGCTATGAAAATCAATCATTGCTCTGTAAGCTATGAAAGTCATTTGTTTCCCAGTACCCTATGGTAGTCAACTGTTGCCGTAAACGCTATTTATGTCAGTGGTTGCCAAGAGCGCTATGACTGTCAATCATTGCCCTGCCAGCTTTGTAAGTCAATTGTGATGGGGCTAAACTGTAGCACTGCACACTACCAAACCTCTTGTATATGTTATCTCGGCCAGCCCAGTTTTTCTGAAGCACGAACACACACACACACACACGCAGAAACGCAACCAATCACACACATACATGCATGCTACACACGCATGTGCACGAGACGGTTGCGCTAACACGTACACACAGTTGCGCACAAAGAGCTGCGCTGTAGATCTATATGTGAATTGCTGTGAAAAAGGAGGCATCTGTAAAAAAGGAGGTATCTGTAAAAAACGAGGCATCTATGGTGTATACTTGGACAATAAAAAAGGAGGAGAAAAGGTGCAGCAGTTTCCAGATGCATGACTTTTTTGATTCTTAATAAAACTTATTCAGGTACATTGAACTTGTCTAGGCTTACTACCAAAAAAAAATAAAAAAAATCCAAAAAAAAAAAAAATCAAAATTACATACACACAAAATGTTGCCATTATTTTGTGGAGTAATCATGTTATTAAATTTACAGGGTTGCAGACGAAATAAAAAAAAAATCATTTTCATTAATTTAAATAGTAATAAAATTAAGACAATATTTAAAATAATGTTTTTTTTTACATTTTAATTTACCACATTCCTTAAATAACAGACAGTAACATCTTTAATTATATATATTATTAAAGATGTTAATGTCTGTTATTTAAGAAATGTGGTAAATTAAAATTAAAAAAAAATTATTATAAATATTGTCTTAATTATATTACTATTTAAATTAATGAAAATAATTATATACATATATATATATATATATATATATTTACCTTAAATGCAGATTCAATAACAACAGCGTATCTTTTAATGAAGACTTGATAATATCTAGCGGCATCTTCTCCGATCTCATCTCGCGAGCTCATCAAAGAAGGATTTTTGAACGTGTGCTCCATCTTGTAAATAGCAAGGTCAGGATTGAATATGACGCCACGGAATTCAAGATAGCGTGTCAGGAACCGTTCGTCGTCGATGTAGTTTAGCTGGACGTTGGTGTGAGCTCGACAGGCCTTGACGAAGTCGTAGAACCCTTCCTCTATAAGTCTGTGTTGAAGAGGGGTTTCTTCCTGCGTCATTTTCTGGGCGTGTTAGTGCGTTTGCACTTGGTGGTTTCTGAAAAGATAACATTTCTAGTGGTAAATTAGCAAGATGACGAGACATTGGCTTTGACTTAGTTCTCAAGAGGCATGTTTTATTTAGAAGTATCTCTAAAGATATAATGTGATGTATGTAACTTAATTCTAAGCACAATCAATATTCAACGACTACCCTGACAAACGTGTATGACATGAGCCATAAAGAGTGACAAGCTGTCTATACAGTCGAACCCACTTATCTCGACCTCGGTTCACTCGCCAAACCTGTTATGTCGACGTTTTGGAAGTGGAAAACGCCCGATTCTCTATCTGTCCTCGCATTTTCTCCTCGGTTATGTCGATTCGCCGAACCCTGATATCTCGATCACAAAAGGCGGCCAAATTTACAACTAAATCTTGTTTATCTCGATCCCCATGACCAATCGCCGGCTTTTAAAAATTATATACAACATAAACGTGCCGACTTCAAACTGTAGTAATTGAAATGAAATGACAATATTGTTGTCCACGCAATTAACTTGACACAGCAAGAAGTGAGGAGCGAGAGGCCTGCACGAAAAAGAGAGAGGTGAGGTCATAGTACCTGTTCTATTTATAGCGAACCCGCTTGTCACTAAAAGGCTTTCACGCGTTATTACCCGTTGACTTTTTTTAAAAAAATCCAGAATCTGCATTTCAATAAATTGAACTGACTAATTGGGAGCGAGAGAAAATAAAACCTTGCCAGTCCTAAGCTGAAAAAAATATTTAGCCCCAAGGATTTCGGAATTCCGGGTTAATTCGGAAAAGTGGCACCCCACATATGCCTTGTGTTGTTAGCAAACATGTATGTACATTTTTATAGCACGCCGATCTCATCATCAGACAAATCACGGTAACGCTGTGGTATATATAAAAAAAAAAAAACACTCCAAAAACACGTGCATGTACATTCCCATTTATAATCGCACATCGTGTACATAAAGAAATTTCAAGCACATGTTAATATATTGCCACCGTATTGGCTTTCGTTATTTTGATCATCGGTTATCTCGACGCTTTTTGGCTAACCGAAAGGCCATCGACATAACCGGGTTCGAGAATAATATAATTAACAATGAATCTCGAAGGGAACTTTTTTTGTACACCCCGCTATCATTGCTCAGCGTGCTGAGTTCTCATTCCCTGCGTCCGAACCCAAAACAACACAATCGTCACACACCGTGCTGTGTACCGTGCTGTGTGCCGACCGTATTTTATACAAGGAAGAGAAGTTGCGTTGCCCTACCTAGTATGTGTATATATATCCTACACGCACTACACATTTTAGTTTACCTAAACTGACTTTAAAAAAAAAAAGGATGATACTTAATGTGGTAACTATAACAAGTAACTGATGTTTGGTAACAGATGTTCCATTAAAACAGCACAAAAAAATCTAAATCTGACTGAATAATGTCATGTAGATCCAACTGTACTAATTGTAGTTATTTCAAATATACACTTACACATGTCGGATTTCCTGAAACAAACACACCGAGCTCGAGGAGTGTTTACGGATCACTCGGCTACGTTAGAGGAAGCCACATATTGTGTTGTTTATATTTTATATGTAATAATAATGTTAGGCTCATAATATATCGAATTATTCGCCACAATAACTTAATAACTGACGAATGATAACAATTAAAAATAGACTGTAAACAAGGACACGCTACTGCGTCATGCCTAAGTAAGCTCTGCCTTGGTAGTTTGGAAATTCCCGTTAAGTCATAACAACATTATTAAAATGTAATGGATTATGTCACAAAAAAAATATAGTTTTAAACATTAAAGATATTAATAAAAGTGTTATAATCAGTTTATACTCTAAATATACTAGTTAAATGGCTCACCGATCGCTTTCATATCATACTTTAAGCACAACGTTCCCCTTACTGTATGCTTAAGTTCGATGCTTCGTAGATGGGCTAAGAATAATGTTATCTTTCTTTTTCATCCCTGTAATCTCTATCCACATCCGGAGTACCAAGTTCCGGGTTCAAAAGGACATTTACAAACGAACGTAACATTTTAAAAGGATCTAAATAAAACCACTAAATGACTATTTTAAAGAATAGCTTTTCTTATTCTTCTATATTTTAAGGGCCCACGAACAACTGATTGATGATTCTGGCTCCTATGCATGTAGAGGGGATTGGCCTGGTGTTGATGAGAATATTTCACTGGTTGCATGGGCTACTTAGTGACGGCATCGTACACTGGGGTTTGGAAGGCCTGAGGCAATAGACGAAAATGTGTTAATAACAATAGCAATACCATCAATTTAACATTCAAGACAAACTCTGTGGAATACTCCCGTCGCTGCAAGCAAGTGTGCGACCGAAATGCGAAGTCGGCCAGCATCAAACACATGTGTAGTATGCCTATGATGAGTTTACTGAAGACCGTCGCACCTTTGCAGACACTTTACTCCCGAACTAAATATAAATACATCGGCGAGACAATCATTAGTATATGACTGAATTAAATTCCTTGTGTAATTGATAACGATATAAACATATCCAAGAAATTGTTTAATAACATTTTGCTTTATACAGATCTCTGGTCACTTGACTGTGTGGAAATCTTAGAGTGTATCATTTATCGCGTTAAAAACAGCACTGAAGACCTACTTTAAATATATATATATATATAAAACATATTTGCGTTTATTTCAACTTTATCTTTTTTCTTCTGCGATTCAGAATCAACAAGTTCACTCGACTGTATTTTTCTCAGGTCTTTATATATTTATAAATATAATATCTTACAGGAAGTTTTGTTATTATTCAGTTAGCGTTTTACGACACAAGTGGACGCTCTTTGCGTTCTAGGAACACTTAAAACGACTGACGTTGAATTGTAGGATGATTAGTAAATAAAATTACTTCATTCAAGCTGCGTGAAAGAACTAGTGAAACAAAGGTTTGTGGAAGCTTGAGATATAAGACAGGACAATGAGAAGATAACTTTTTCTGCTAGGAGACTGTTTCAGCACAGGACAAGACGGGAAACAATGCGAGATAGAAAACAGTTCAAAACCTTAAGTGTTTGTAATGTTTACTATTTCTTATCGTTTCTTCTTTTTTTGTACTGTCTGTCGAAGAAGGTTCTTTGCCGAAACTTTCTCTTTTTGTTGTCCTGTCTTACATTTCAAGCTTCAAAAAACCTGGTTTCACCTTTCCATTGCATTGTACCAGCTTTGAATTATCTTAAATATAATGTGTAAAATGTGAAATTTAGTTAGACGCTATGACAATGATTATGTACAAATGTAATCAAATCATATGTTAAAAAATTTTGATAATTAAAATAATTACGTATTGTCTTATGTATTAGATTATGTAGACTTATCGCAACATCTCTTGATTTCGAAAAAGTTTCTTTTACTCCCTACCTCGATTTGAAAACATTTTCCCGCACCACATGATAAAAATTGCTTGTAAAAATGCAAATAAACTTGATTTGTTTACTCTTCACATCTCCTCTGATACCGCCGTGTCGGAGAAGAAAATAAATGACAAATCACTGAATTTCTTGACAATTCACTGAATTTTTAAAGATCCTTTTCTTTGATGATCGATTAGATGGCACATTTTGCTACCTGAATTTTTAACATGTTTGTGCTCTACAAAGTGTATCTATCGTTATTGTTTAGCAGTATAACCGGAACAATGTATCCAATAAAACAGGTTTTACATCAGAATACTGATACGTTTTTAAAAAAAAATGAGAAAATACATTATCTGACACTGATACAATGTCCATAAACACAAGAATAACGTAAGTAAGAGATCGCTGCTTTGAAATAAGTTTTCCTTTGCTCCTCCTCAGCAAGCCTGCATTTTATTTTATAAAAAAACAATTGGTTTCTTCTATTTAAAAAAAAAAAAATTACAAATTATGTACTTACCTTGGTAACTGAGGTGTCTCAGCGTGAAAAGCTCCATCTAACATTTCGCTATAAAAGGGTCACGGGGTTTGTGCGGGTCATTCCAACTAACACGTAGCTAGCCCCCCCCCCCCCCCCCCCCCCCCCCCCCCCCCCCCCCCCCCCGCAGAATTCCAGGTCGCTTAATCAGAGCCAAAAGCTCAATAAACACCAACTTAACCTCCGACAACTCCAGAAGTTACACCCGGAACAATTATAAATGCTTCACTGTACCTCGATGTAACACAGTTTAATATAAACAGTCATTCTTCCCACGAACAATAATTGCTTGGACAATGCCGCCGTGGACTCGACATCAATCGAGACGTTTCAAGGCTGCCCTGGCACGCGCGGGAGCGGTTAGAATATACGCATCTTTTCCCAAACCGTTGCACAGATGCCAGCACTTGGTTGCAGCAACGTAGTCTATCAGATTCAGAAGAATGAATTGCACATATCAAAAAGTAAATATTAATTTAGATAATTCAGATTTATAGTTATAAAAATAAAATTATATGATTTTAATTACAACATACATAGCCACAAAATCAGGTAAATACTCAACCTAATATGATACTGTGGAGAGTCGGACCACGACGGCGCCGGGGGGGGGGGCGTCTGACCAGGGATTACGGCCGTCTGACAGGTACAGCCGGCGCCATCTGACCTGGGATCACGACCGAAGGATCAAGCGCTGGGGGCGGTACCGGCCATCCATCTGACCAGGGCATTTCCCTGGGACGACTGGTCTGTTTGTAACCTGGCGCCGATTGGGAAAAAGGGGCGGTGTATAATGCGCCAGTACAGACCTGGGAGAGGAACTATGGGACAGGGAGGTATAAATAGGGATCTCTGGACGGGACGAAAAGGGAAGGCGGCCGGACTGAGAACTAGATAGCAGGGAGAAGTCAGAGTTGTGAGATGAGAGAAAGAGTAAGCAAGGTGACAGCCCAATAAAGAACACGAGTTTAATCATCAAATGTTATCACCGGAGTTGTTTCCTTATTGAGTACCAGGTCTAGATGAAGTTTATCAGAGAGTAAGCAAGGTTACCTTACAATACTACAATTTCATTTGTTTTCATGTTATTAATAGTAGTAGATGGGCTAGATGATAACTAATGAAGAATGCCATTATGCTTTTATAAACTTTTAAACTGAAATTTAAAATAACCAACAACCCAGTATTATTATTTAACTTTATATTACATTTATTTATAAGGATAATACACACATATTAAAGCTTATCTAGACGTATATAAAATACATTTTTAATATACAAATACTTATTTTATAATATTCAAATTTTTGAGAATTTTGTAAAATAATAAAAAATATCAATATCAGTGTACTACTTTGCGAGACAGCAGAGCACAATTTTACAGGCTGTTATTTTCATACGTTGTAAATTTTATTTTAGATGCGAGTTGAACAAAAGTTTAACATGACGACATCGGATTATTTTTTATATGCTAGAAGATATGACCCCGATGTAACCAAAATAATTTTGGAAGTCATAGTATGCTATTTCCATGTGTTCAAGAGAAGATCTTCAAAATCTAAAAATATAATATTTACTAATGCAACCATATCGGATTTCGATGAATTGTTTACTCAAACAAAAAGTACGACAAATTTCAGCACCCTTGTAATGTATATTTAGGACATAGGTAATTAGTTATTCGTTAGAAAAAAAAGATTATTAATACATATTTACGTTTGTCACATTATAATTTTTTTTTAAACAATGTATTTTTCAGGCCACCGTCATACAAAGAAAACACATTTCCAAAAAAATGTTAAAAGACATATCCTTAACAAAAAAATATTAAAATATGTAGCGTTTAAGGACATTCATGTATTGGTACTGTCAGTCAAAATTGTCCAATGTCTGTTTTGCTCCTGAACAATATTATCGGAAAATCGTTAAAACGGCATTCTTTTAGTTAATGACGAATCTCTTATCGAATTTTTAAGCCCAACAGTCTTGTGTTTTTTAAAAAAAAACTATTCTTTACCTTATAAAAATGTCCAAATACCCTGAACTGTATTTTTGCGCAAAATGTAAAGACAAGTATTTCCTTATTTCTAAATAAAATCTTAACCCCTACCATACATACTGGAATATGTGTTTAATTTTGTGTTTAGTTCGCATTGTTTATGTTGTATATGTTTATGTGTGAGTGTGATGTGTGTATTTACTTATTTAAATTTAGATTCTATAGTAAGAATTATAATCTATTGGTGTCAATTGGAATCATTTGTCATTTCTAAATTTTGTGTGATTTTTTGATCGTTTTGATTATTATTAAAAATACATCTTTATAATCATTTTTGCTTTTTTTTTTTTTTTTTAAATTTTTTTAATCTTACTACACTTTTAATCTTTAAAAAAAAATAATATAACTGATAATTTATTTTTTTTTTTTTTTTTGTTTTTTTTTTTTTTTTTTTTTTATTTTTAAAAATTTTTTTTTTTATTTTTTTTTTTTTTTTTTTTTTTTTTTTAAATTTCTGTAATCGTACTACACTTTTAAACTTTAAAACAAAATAATATCACGGATAATTTTCTGCAATTCTCTGGCATTTTAGAGCATTAAGAAACAAGTAATTAAAACATTTCACCTATCCAGCCTTAAGGTGAGTAATTGATAACAAAGTGATTGTTTGGACTCGCTCACTCCATGGCCTTTAACACCCCGTCTCTACACTAATGGGGCAGAAAA